TTTTGTGATGAGAGACATCATAATATGTCTTTGGAAGATGTCTTTGCAGCCCAGAACGGGTTTTAAAATGCTGTATCAAAGGCTGGAGAAATCTCTGTCACTACATTTCTAAACTTCTGGTTTTCTGGTGGAGGCACATGGTGGCTTTATATAGCTGATACAGTAGGATATTAAAAAAAAAAAATAAATTAAACTGGGATGTAAAGGCATGTGGCTTGCAGAGAAAACTTCCCCTGTGGCATCAAATAAAATTCTTGGCTCTCTATAGAACTAATAGACTGATTCTGTCCATACATGGTGACCACCGTGTAACAAATTGGTGAGAAAGATTTCTGACCTAAGCAGCTTACCTGAAATACCCTTTATTTCTTTAACCTAAAAAAGGTATACAAGGGATAGATTGATACCTTGGGATCAATAATAATGTTGAAATCAAGACATTTTTCTCAAGTGTATGGTATTTAATAAAAAGAAAAACAAAAGCTTATTTTTAACAGAGAAAATAAGACATTCTGCTATAAAAAATATCTATCAAATAGAGGAAATAATGATGGTTGCAGAATGTTAGAGTACTTGTAATTACTAGCACTCCCTAGATTCTCTGTGTAGTCATGTAAAACAGCATGGAAGTCTTTTGCAGTGCTGCATATTTATCTTTCTGTATGGTTTTTTTTCCTGCCTTGTGGGCTGTACATACAGAATAGTCGTCTGTACACTGATGAGGAATACTGCTGGTATTTTTTTTATCCCTTTTTTTTAACTCTCTTGCCCAAGAAAGAGGATTTTTCCATCCAGCTTGTTTACTTCATGATTTATGTCTAAATTGACAGAGTCCTTCGGAGGCATTCGTGTTAAATTTGAAACAAACATATTTAATGCTCGTGTTGTAATAAAACAGCTAAAAGAGCAGATTAAAAAGATATGCACAGAGGGGTCTGATTGATTGAGGGATTGATTTTACTACTTTTCCCGTAGGTGGGTAGTGATGGCTGTAAATCTCTTGATAATCATTTCAGAAGCACCTTCATCAATAAACTCAGAAGGGACAGATAGGCGTAAAAATTTGCCAGCCATCAGGTCAAACAAAAGGCAGCAAATGTGTATAGTATGAATTGAATTAAATAATCCCACCTTGGCCGGTTGTGGCATTAGTCATGTTCATTTTTATCTCGGAGGCGGGAGAGTTCCCCATCACTGTGATTCTTTGGGATTTGGGGAAGCAGAGACGGGGGAGGCTCTTTCCCTCTATGTTTTTTTTCCTTTTTTCCGTTGGCTCAACCCGTATTGCTTACGATTCAATTATGTGGCTAAAAGCTTGTGTTTGTGAGCAGTGATCAATTATTAGTTGTCAGCAATAATGGAGAAGGATTAAATTCTGGTGCCCCCTTTCCCCCCATTTCCCCCCCTCCCCTTTTTTTTTTTTTTCTGCGGAGTTTTCATTAGAAAAGAAATTCACAAAAAGAAAAGAAGAGAGCAAGGGGGGGGGGGGGGGCTGACAGAATGTCAACAAGAGTAGTCATACCTAAACCCACGGAGTCACAGGACTGGCCATGTCCATGCTGAATAGTGTGGTTCAGGCTATTGATAATAAAACAATCCTTGCTTGCTGGTGCTCGCTGCCCCTGGGTAGCTGCGCCCCAGGACTGTCTCAAAAGTTTATTATACATCGGAGCACAAAGCCAAGTTCCCAGCTGACTGCAGCATCTGGAAGCCCCTAATTACCCACATTTCTAAAAGATATGTAACCTGGGTTGGCTGAAAAACAGGCTTGCTGGAGAGGTCAGCTGTAGCAACGTTGGAAACTCTTGGGCGGTGTATCTTTTTCTAGTTTCAAAAAAGGGCAAAAGGAGAATATAGAAGATGAAGAGAGCGAAGAGGGAAAAGTAAAATGAAAAAAAAAGGGGGGGGGGGCAAGGGGAAGAAAAAAGAAAAAGGAGAAAATTAATGAAAAGAAAGAAAGAGAAAGAGAGAGAAAGAGAAAGAGAGAAAGAGAGAAAGAGAGAAAGAAAAAGAAAGAAAGAAAGAAAGAAAGAAAGAAAGAAAGAAAGAAAGAAAGAAAGAAAGAAAGAAAGAAAGAAAGAAAGAAAGAAAGAAAGAAAGAAAGAAAGAAAGAAAGAAAGAAAGAAAGAAAGAAAGAAAGAAAGAAAGAAAGAAAGAAAGAAAGAAAGAAAGAAAGAAAGAAAGAAAGAAAGAAAGAAAGAAAGAAAGAAAAAAAACCCAAACCCCAAACAACTATCCTTCTAACTGCAAAGCGGGTATTTTTCAGGGTGAAAATGCGGACGGTTGGGTCTCGCGCCCTCCGCTCGGTGCCGGACCGGGCCAGGCTGACCCTGCAGTGCTGTTGCTGCCGCGGCGCACCGGCCGCCTCCGACAGGCTCCGGGTGTGCAAATTTGCAGAAAATATTACATCAATTGGATCTCCCCCCCCCCCCCCCCCCCCCGATCGTTATTAACGATGTATTATAACGACGTGGGGATTGTATAGCTTTTAACCCCTGCGTGCGAAGGGTGGTTGTTTCTGATCGCAACCCTTAATAACAATAATCCAACCTAGTGCGTGGCATCTCATTGAAATCGTCTCTCAGCAGAATGAACTGCAAATTATCCCCTGTTTACCACCTCCCTTCAGTGCTCATCTCAATGAACTGCAGATCGATCCCCACCACGGGTGTCTTCCAGCAGGGCTGATTTGCATTGAAGCACATTAGAAAGCCTCCCACCTCCATGGAAAAGAATAAACGGGGGGGGGGGGGGGTGTGGGGGGTGTGTGTGTGTAATCGGGGGAATAATCGCCAAGGTGTGGCGGGGAGGGAAAAATATCTGTCACTGTCATTTGGAACTTCGAGAGGGAGAACCAGAGATCAGTATTTACGCTGGTGAACTCTCACAACTTCTGCTAGAGACAGTGACGTTTAATTGATGTATTGCTATCAACAACAATAAAGACCGATTTTTCTCTAGCCCTGGCAATGCTGCTCTGCCCCCACCCTTTCCCCACCCCTCCTGGCCCCCAGCGAAGGAGAGGAAAACAAACAATAAATAATCAAGAGGTCCTGGATGAAATACCAGGCGCCGCTTTATGCACTAGCGAGGGAGAAAGAGAAACGAAAACAAAGAAAAAAGTCATAAAACTTAATTTCTCCAGATTAATTTCTTTTTCTTAAAACCGTTAGTTTTCTTCTTGTTGCTGCTGTTGTTGCTTTTTAATTACCAGACCACGGCCGCCTTTTCCAGCCACGAAGCAAAGGTACTGCACATCTGGGGAAATTTGTCTTGAGCTTAATCGACAAATGTATAATGAAATTGTAAACGCGAATAATTTTGGGAGAGCGGCTAGGGTAGAAGCCGTGGGAAGCTAACGGAGTGATTGATACAGTGCGAAATGCAGGCACAGACGTGTAAATATATCCGCGTGGGTACTCAGTGTGCATCTCCGCGTGGCTAGCTGTAAGTAACGTGTGCATTTCGCTGCGTTCAGGGTTGGGTTCGTCCCCACCGTCTCAGGGTGAGGCGGGTGACAGCCTGCGCTGAGTGTATCCATCTCTGCCGAAACAACTCTTTAAATATTCAGTGAAAAATAATGTCATGTGAAGTACCACCTATAGCAACATTATTATCTTCATTCTTCAACATCATCCCCGCTGATAGCTTCGTTTGTCTCGTTCTCAAAATCTACTGTACTGAGTGCGGCGGGGAGGGAGAAAAGGGGGAGGCTCGCCCTGTGCAGGAATGGTAAGGAACCTCAGTGGCCGCTTCGCACCGCTCACTAAATCCTGGAGGGGCACCTGGGAGGCTTTTTCGGTTCGTACGCGTTTGGTTGGCTGGGTTTTGCGGCTCTTGGGTTGTTTTTTTTTTTTTTTTTCACCCTTCTCGCTAAACGTTTTACAGTCTCTTTCGTTTAATAATAAGAAGAAAACGCCGGTGAACCGAACCGGCTCCTGGAATGGGAAGATTTCGCTCTCTCCCACTTCTCCTCTCGCTCGCTCTCGAGTTTTACAGGCTCATTTGAAATTGAAATTAGTTGAATCTGATCAGCGTCTTGTTTTTACAGAGAGTTTGTTAATACGGAGAAAAGGAGTAGTTTCTAAGGAAGAGTAAATAATCCAGCGGGGGTAGTGGGAGGAGAGAGCCCTGGATGGGTCAGGGTGTGTGTGGGGGGGAAGAAATGGCCCGCGTTCAGCTATTTTTCAAAGCGTAACTTTTGGTGCGCGGAGCAGTGCCGAGGGACGGTGTCTGAGGGGAAGAGCGCGGTGGGACGCGCCGTGTATCCGCGGCGTACGCATGCCGCTGGGTACGCGGGGTTTCAAAAGTAGCATTTGCCTGTAGCTTCTTTGCAACTATACTTTTATTTCGAGACCGTGAAATTAGTTTGCAAGAGGTTCCTGTTCCTGCTCTGGAAGCAACACCCGGGAGTTAAAGTTGGTGTGACACGGCGGGAGAGCGGAGCCCCCACGGTCCCGGGGCTGTACTCTGCTGTGACCACGCACAATCGCCAGCCCGAGAGTGCACGCCCGGCCGGCAGCCGGCCCGGTCTAGCTGCGCCCGCCGGACCTCCAGCCCTGAGCGCTCCTCAGAGTTGGCGAAGTTCGGCTGGGCCCGCGGTAGTTCCGGTGGTTCCGCTCCTCCCGCCGGCTCCTGCGCGGCCACCTGTGGCCCCTGCGCGGCCGGGGGCGCTCCGCTCCCGCGTCGTGGAGCAGAACGCAGGTCACGAACGGTCCCAACCCCAACCCCGCCGCCGCTCGCACCGGCCACCCTCTGTGCGGCGCGGGTTGATTGACGTTCTGCGCAGCCAATCGGCGCGTCGCGTCGGGCGGGGGGCGGTGCGGGCGGCCGGTCCTCCCGCCGCTCCCAGCAGTGCCCTAATTGTCCTGGGAATGTGTGAGGTAAAACCTGAACTCGTCCTATTTTCAGCACCCCGTGGCCGTGATATATGGGGTTGGGGGGGGGGAGGGAGTTGAGGGGCGGCGGGCGAGAGCCGGGGGAGGGCGGAAATGGATCTTTATTCGGAAAAGCGGGGACGAAAAGAGAAGGAAAAAGAGAAAAAAATCCACCCGAAACTTTGTGCAGCCGCAGGAACGGGACGCTCGGCGGCAGCCGGAGCGGGGCCGGGAGCTGGCCAGGGCTGTCGCCGGGCAGACACTTGCCGCCGGTGCGGGTGCGCGGTCCCGGTGCTCCCCGCAGTGCGTCCTCCCCCCTGCCGGTCACTGCTTGCCCTGCCCCGGGGCTATGGGGAAGAGGGGGCTTAAAAATATACATTAAAAAAAGGAAGGAAAAAGTGAATTGCAGCGCAAAACTACGGGAGGGAGGGCGGCGCGGCGAGCCCGTCGGGGCTGGAGGCAGGAGTGAGGGGACACAACACATTCCTATAGTAACGGGGATGGCGCGGAGCAGCCCCGGCCGGTTGCTAAGAGGGTTAAACTGTATCCAAACAGCTTTAGGGAAATCCAGCCCCTTCTCCCGCCACATGGATCGACTCATTGGGTGGGAGCGGCGGAGAGACAAGGGTCTCCAGCAAATCAGCGCCTAATTGATTAAGGCGAGCTGGTTTGAATAGAGCTGGCCATGTGCCAATCGCCTCTCAAAGAGCCCCTCTATGATTAATCGCAATGCATTATTGATAATCATAATTATAGCAGGACACATGCGCGGTGCGCGGAGGACTGGGGAGGCTGGGGGGGGGAGGCTCGATTTCCGTAATTTTGAGAAGATTTTTTTTTAGTAATTTTTTATTCTGCCCCAGCTGATGTTTGAGCCAGCATGTCGCGGAGGAAGCAGGCGAAGCCTCAGCATTTCCAATCCGACCCCGATCTGGCCTTGTTATCCCAGCGAAATGGTGAGTTCTTCTCCTCTCCCTCGCACACATTTTAACACAAACACACAAAATAGATCAACTTACCTTGCCGGGGAGAAGGGGCCGCGCCGGGCAGCGGAGCGGGACAGCTGGATCTCCCGGAGCGACGTGCCGGTGGGAGTCCTACTGCGCTTTTGCTCCGAGTTCTTGGCTTTTATTTTTTTTTTTTTTTTAACTCGGCGTTGTGTTTCGCCTGTTTCTTAACGAAACTCCAAACTCTTTCCGTTTTTCGATGTTTTCCCTCCGCCCTCCCCCTGCGGGGCGGTCTGGCATCCTGAGCCCGCGGGAGATGGATCCGCGCCCCCAGCGCCTTCCTCCGCACCCCGCGGAGCCGGGGAACAAAGTGGAGCTGCCGAGGGGAGGCTGATCCCGGAGCCCCGCGGGACGGATGCCCTGTCTGGCCACACACGCTTCCCGTGACGGCCCCCCGAAAGGGGCGGAAAGCCCCCCCCGGCACCCACTTTCTTGCCCCCCCTCCCTGCCGCACCACCCCCGCGGACCCCGGCGCTTCCGCACCCCCCGCTCTCCGGAGTCCCGCCGCGGAGCAGCCCCGGCCTCCGGCTGCACCGAAAGCTTCCTGGAGGCGGAAAAGTTGCCGCCGCCGGGCCGGGGCAAGGGGGAGATCGCCCCGTCCAGGAGCTGCCGCCGCGCCGGAGAGGGGCTCGGCGGCCCCCAGCTCAGAAGGTCCGGGCAGCGCGGGGCTTGTTTGCTTTCCCTAAGGTTGCTTTTTTTCTTTCCTTAGTTCCCCTCTCCCCTCCAAGTCGATGAGCGAGGAATAAGCGCTGGCTTTGTGTTCGCCAGGATTTGGAGAGGGAGCGTGTGAAAAACCTTTTTATTTTTTTATTATTATTATTTTTTTTTTCTTCTTCCTCCCCTCCTCCCTCTTCCCCCTTCCCCGCGAGAAGGGGATTTCGGCGGAGTCTGGCGGGCGGCGGAGGGACCGTGCCTCTGCCCCTACCTGCCCCGGGACGCGGGGTGACAAGTGGTCGGCTAGAGCCGCGGCCGGGCTGGCGGGGCGGAGTGGCCCCGGACAGCGTCCTGCCTTGCAGCGGCCATGAGGCAGGGGAGAGCCGGTGGGCGGCCGGCGCTGGGCGCCGAGGGCGGCGCGGGGCAGAAGTGCTTCAGGCGGGCAGGTAAGGGAGGGACGGGGCGTTGCAGTGTCCCCGCGACCGCCCGGCCTCGCCGGTCGGAGTCACCTTGGTCTTCCCGCGGCAACTTCCCAGGAAGAGCTGGCGCCGGGCCCTTCGCTCCGGCGGTGTCGTGCGTTGTGTTGTGCCTTGTGCCCTCGGCTGCCCGGGATCGGCGCGATAAACGGCGTCTGAAAGTTCACGGGATGTTTCCCTGCGTCTGTAGGCATTTAGAGGGCTTCCAAGTTACCTGGAACGCCCGCTTCGTAAAGTGGCAAATATATAAGCACTTGCTTCGCGTACCTCTGCCGAAACGCTGCTTAAAAAGTCATTTGGGACCCGGGAGGCGACTTCTGTTTTTTAGCAGAGTTTTGTGCAGTCTTCAGTGCGCTCGAGTTTCGCCTTTTGCTCAGCGTAATCCCTTCTCATCTCAGTAGACGTATTTATTTCTCGTCCGGTATTATTTGTACTTCCGCTCGAAGTTTGGAGCAGGAGTTGAGGGTAACGTTAGGGTTTATTGGTCTTTCATCGGCCTCCTATGAAAGAATTTGGAACGTCTTAGAGTGAGCAGAGAAAGGGAAGGCTAAGATGGAAATTATCTTGCTGGGAGAGAGGGATTTTCCACATCTTCACTTTGTAGGATTGCATGTTTTGACCTTCGCTTTTTTTTTTTGTTTTGTTTTGGTTTTTTTAGCAGATAGAGCACGTCAAAAATACTTTTAAGTATCTTTTTTAAAAGTAGCTGTTTTCTTCTAGTTTGAGTCTTTTGATCTGATTTTACACATCGTTTTCAAGTGAAAGACAGTGGGAGTGTGAGAAAGGAATGCTCACTGAGCAGCTTTCCTGCCTGTTGCTAAAGGGTGTTAGATTTGGATTATTTAAGTTAGTTGGATTTTGGCTGAAACGATAGCATGGAAGTGCAGCTTTTGTTTAGTTTGCACGGTTATCGTAAGTTAAATAAGTAAATAACGAAGTTTATTCTAAAAAAAACACGACCGTTTTCCTAGAAAAAACAGGGTGCTTTACTATCAGATCTGTAGGAGCCTCCCCCCGCCCTTCTGTAGTAATGATTTTGGGTTATGGCTGGTTTACATGGTTAGACGATAAGTTTTGAGTCAGTTGCCCAGAGGGTGTGTTTTGTAACGGTGTTTCAGGATTCAAAACGCTATAGTAGTGTTAGCAGAGTTACCCGCAGCCTTCCGGGGTCCTCAGCCCTGGCAGCAGCTTTCCACTTGGGCAAGACAGGGTGGGCAAGCTGCGGTGAGGGCGAGTTTGCATTATATGCCTTTAAATTGCAAAACAAACCCCGAGATTCCAGGCGCTCCTTTCTTCCTCACTCATACTGTGGGTTGAGGTTTGCCAATTCATGGGAAGTCTGTGCAGGGCTCAGGCAAACGCAGCATCGCTGGTCCTTGGGGCACTGGCAGGAAGGTGCTGCTTCTGGTCAGCAGTTGGAGCGAATGGATAGAGTGGCCCCGTGGAAATTTCTTGCATCTGATTTGAATTCTGGTTTGTTAAAACTTTCTCATATAGTTTCATATCTAAAGATCAATAGGAAAAAAGTTCATCAGACTGTAACAGCATGGTTTTTATTTATTATTATTTTTTTAATGTTACTGCTCTCTCTTTTATTGTTATTACTTGTTTTGTTTAAAGTTCAAAGCTCATGCAGTTCAGTTTTACCAGAAAGACTTTCCACTTAAAATATATTTTCGGTGCAGTCAATGGACAAGTAAGTTTACCCTTGTGAAATCCTCTGCATGTGAACGTTTGATGAAGTTCGTATTGGATAAGCAGAACAGCTCTCAGATTAATAGCAGAAATTACTTGCAGTGTAAATTATGTTCAACAAGTAACTAATTACTGGATAGGAAGTGGGCAAGAGATTGTGGGATTATTTCCTTTTGTTAATAACTTCAGCCACTTTTATGACATTTTAGAATATTTTTTTTTCTCCAGTTGATTGGAGTTAGATTCCCAGTTTTAAAAGAATATTCTTGGAGTATAATTTTCCAAGGTAAAAGTTACATGGGAGAGCTAAGCTATCCAGATTTTGAAGAAAATATTTGCTGCCCTTCCATAGAAAGGCTTGTCAGAAGCAGTGCCTTTTCATGTCAGTAATGGATTTTGGTAAAATCCTGCTGCAGCATTATGAACATCCACATAATTGTTACTGGGCCCATGAAATGAGAGAAATTATGATCGCTTTCTTTAGTCAGATCTGGAGGATGGGGTGCTTAAGAGAAATAAGTGCTTAGTTAGGCTGCTTTTAGTTTGTTACATAATTAGGCCTTTTGGTGCAATAACTGCAGTCTGCCAAGGCAGAATACAGACACTTGTGCTTTTTCCAAAGGTGAGCCCGAAGCAGAGAGGGGCCTTGTGAAATATCACTTATGTAGATGCAATTCAGGAATAATTACTGAAACCCATATGGTGAAAGTCACCGAAATCCGGTGTTAGCTCACACTGGTTTGTGTGTGTTTCCCCTACATAACCCACATCTTTGTCTTTCTGCAAAATATTTATGTTTTAGTTTGTACCTTATTTATCTTTCTGATGCTAAGTAGCATCTGGCTCCCTGAGGACGAGCCCTCCTGTATATTTAGCTGTGCCAGTGCTTATTGCATAACTGGCTTTTAACCATATTCATACTTTTAAGTGTGGAAACATGCATCTTTATTGAAGTGACCTGAGGTGCCTCTCAGAAAACACGATTATGTTTCTTGAAACTGTTTGTGAAAAACAAAAGGGACAACTCTGCTAAATGTCCATCAAAGAAGCTTTGATGTGTGTAGTTTTTGTACATGAAGGTGCATTGCACCTATGTGCTTCGCAACCTTGAAGAAAGTTGAAATGCACAAGGGAAATTGGTGCTTCATGCCTGTGTAGTTGGTGCTAGGGAAAAAAAAAATTAAGTGTTCAGCTGTTTTAACCTTTGCTAGCCTCCTTCCATCCAAAGGTGACAGGGTTCAGATCACAATATGTACTTCAATATCTTGCCAATGACCCCCGAATTGAGTCTTACTGGTTGCTTAGCAGGAAGTTAGTAGTTTATTTTAGCTTCACCTTATCAGCTTTGCTTCTTTTGCTAACCCTATTCCCCTGTCACCCCTCAGATGCCAGACCCCCGAAGAGGAGATTGACATGTAGTTCCCATAGCTCCGTTTTACCCTCCAAACAACAGGGATTTAGTTTCTTGTCCCTTTGCCAATGTTTATGTAGCCAAAGTTTAGATATAGCCTTAAGGAGCCTTTCTTTTACGTGTCACTGGAACAGTGAAACTGCACTGAACTTTTTGAAGAAACTGTTGCAACTGGAACCCCATCTAGTGTTCGTTTTGATTCATCCATAATGAAGACTTTTTTAAATTGTATTCATTAGGATGGAATTGTTCCTAGTATCAAGCTTGCCTGAGATTATTAGGTTTTTTCCGGTATCAGATTAGAGAATCTTTGATAAAAGTTAACTTTAATGTATAGGAGGATTGCGTTGCCAGTAATGATATGGAAAAGTTTAGAAACCGACTTAAATATAAGCACAAATACCCGCCTACTTAAATATAAGCACAAATAGCCACCTCACCTTGTGAGCAATTTTCTTCTGAACAAATGGTGACTTAAAACTTGTTATTTGTGAACTGGCTGTAGGAAGGAGGAATTAAAGGTGTGTATATGCAGTGGGGACAGATACACTTCAAAATGTTAGTGCACATTGGGGATGCAGGAAACATACATTTTGAACTGCCTGACCAGGTAAAGGGAGCTGCTGAATTGTTGGTAGAGATAGAAGTGCTTTATAATTGTAATGTAAATTTTAGTGAGAAGTTGTTTTGGAAACATTTATATAAATAATAAATGTATTTAAAACAAAATATTTAGGAGTTTTCAAACTGTAAGTCCTTGTTCAGTTGCTTCTCAGTGGAAGGCAGATGTTTATTTTTTTTCTTTTTTACAAGTTTGTTAAACATTATGGTATGTTTTGGTTCCCATTCTAGAATATGCATCTCAAGTGGCTTCAAAATTCCCAGTTTGAAATGAGTAATAAGCTTCAGATGAATAATCTAGATTGAGCACAAAAAGTTCATTATCCTTAGGAAAGCAGTAAACTGAAAAATCTGACAGGGGACTTGCAATACAAACTGTCCTTAATAGTTTGTGGACGTTTTTAAATTGTGGACTTTTTTTTTTAAATAATTAGTGCTCTTTGAATTTTGCATATTCCCAATCCTTGCAGATTTATTTTTACCTTTAATTGTGTAAACACCATATTAAAGCAAGATGCAAGGCTTCTCCACTGTGATAGGCACAACAAAGAAACTTTATTAGTCAGGTCACCAATTACTATATTATTCAGAACAGATTATTCAAGGAAATATATTAAAGACTAGCAGATGTGGTCAGATACAATAGTGCTTAACTATGCACTGAAAACCGCACTGTGTTCTCTTCCTATGAAATGTAGAATAGCACTTTTCAAAACCTATATGACTTTTTTTTTAACCCTCCACTGCTGCTCAGTAGTGAATCTTTTCACTCCTCTGTAATAGATGTGGGCTACGGAACGCTTGGAACCCAACGCTAATTTAATAGAAGCCTTTTAAAAGTATTTTTGTTTTCCTAAAAAAAGATTGTTTAAACCCCACTGAATAGAATTTTCATAGAAATGAAAAATCTTCTTGTGATTGAGGCACAGATGTTGCTGCGGTGCTTGTGGTGTATCTGGTGTCTGAATTTCCTGAAGACTCATGTATTTAACCTTTAGATTATAAAACACTCAAATTTGCATTAAGTAACAACATATATAAGTTTCTGATACAGAGAAGCGGTGAGAATAGGTATGTAGAATAACTCTCACTTATTTAAGGAAAAAAAAGATACTGGGTTATTTTGTGAGTGAAAAAAAAACATCAAATACGCTTCAGTTTTAGGGCAGAAGTGCTAAATATTTGGAGCAATTCCATTGTAATGCGTACAATTGATGAAGTCAGTTTTCTGATTTTCCTTGCTAGTTATTTAGTTCTGAATCTGCCATTATTTGTCTAAGCAGAGCTGACCAAGCAAAACTGTGTTTTAAAGTGGCTTTATGTTTTGATAAATGTGATCTGGTTGAAAAGTATTTTCCACTGAATGCAGAGCTTAATAGAACATGCTGACATAATAGTTTTAATGCATTTTGTTGAAAATGTGTGAACAACCAGAATAGCTTTTGTTCCTTCATAATTGGCTGTAAAAGTAGATGGAAACATAACCATTACATATGGAAATGTGCGAAGAGAAAGAAATAACATTTCTGTTGAATATATTAGGAATTGCATTTCCTAGTTTAAAATAAGCATCTGAAATGGATGCATCTTTTGAAATAGGTTGTCAAAATAAAAAGCCTTAAGTGGAATGTTTGTCATATTATTGTTATCCTGAGTTAAACACACGATTGCTAAAGAAAAGCATGCAACTTTAATAAATTTCTTTTTAATATTTTTTTTTTTCTGTTCAGTAAGCAGAAAAATACTTCTAAAAGCACTTTAAAAAAATATTGGAATCCACCACTTATAGTATGATTAAACATTAATTTAGCAACTAATCATAATTGCTACTTTCCTTTAGTTTCTTCATTCTGTTACATTGCTAGAGACATTTACAATATTTCTGGTGTACTTGTACTGAAGTCTGTACCCAAGCATATAACAACAATGGCTGGATTAAAATACTGTCAGAAACGAAAATGTAAAATGAAGTGCTAGCAATTTTCATGGCATGTCAACTTCTTTGTCTTGCTAAAGGGAAACATTTTTAGGTTCAACTCATTAAGACGAAATAGAGAAAATTAAAATGAAATGATTTACAGGAACTCTTACTTTAGCTTTCTCTGAGATTTAATTTGGCAGTCATGGAAACTACCTATTATCTGATTTAGTGTAGGGGAGAAACATGCAGGGAGGTAATCCTTGAATTAAACAGTTTTTTTCACAGCCTTCCAAGATGACCACACACCATTTGTACAACAGAAGTTGGTGTCCTCATGCTGAGCAAACAATAGGGAGCCATCCTGTCTTTGAATAGGATCAGCTAGTTTAGAGTCAGATTTTTTTAATGTTTAATTTACAAATGGATCCTAGTGATAAGAAATGTGCAACTAGTGGAAACAAACACCCAATGAAAGGATTTTATAATGAAAGGTTCAGTGCAATCTGTTAAACAGTTGAGAACAGTTAAGAACAAATAGTTTTTAAATGCATTCAGAGTAGGAAAATTGCATAGCATTATCAAACTTAAAACCAGGAGTTATTTCTTATTGTATGTGAAATTTCCTTTTAACTGCTCATCTTTTCTGATGTTTATTCAGAAATGTAAAACTTCTGCTGGCTTTATAGATAAGAGGCCAGATCCTGGTGTTTCTTACTCTGATGTAAATTCACATTATTTCCAGTGATTGTTCAGATTTATACAAGAGTTTTTCAGATCAGAATCCCACAGGGAGTGCTTTTGGTGGAGGGCATGGTGGCAAATGAGACATTTGTTTAATTTTAGAAGCATTGCTTGAGGCATTAAAAGTGGTCTTTAAAGTGCTTTGGCACTTTACCGTTTTATGCTAAATGTTACCATTTTATAAGGGACTTTTCATTTTTCTGTTCAGTTTGTCTGTAACTGCAGCAGAATTAAGTTTGGTGGAAAACCAGTGTGTCTTAGCAGATTTATAGCTTACCCCTCGTGTAGTGACTTGAAAGAAATGGGGGGTTGTCAGTACGGAGCTTCGTAATACTTACTTTTTTTTTTTCTTGTCAACAACTGATTGGGACCTCGAATGACTACAAATTAGTTTAGTGATGGGGCAACTGTCACAGATATCTTTGAATCAGTTGAAAATGAACAAGGTTGACAGGAATGTGAGAGTCTAATGAGTCCCTCAAATGGCTGTTTTGCACTCAGTGGACAACTAGACAATAAACAGTATGAATTATTGGAAATCAATACTTTGCTATGGAATTTCATTATGCTCCAATGCCTTCAGTTCATAGTATTTTATATTTTGATGGATTATCTGAAGCAAATGATCATCTAAGACACAGGGATTGATAAAACTCCCCTGTACAATTTTAAATGTTGCTTTTGACTTGTTTTTTGTGAAGTAGAAACATTGATCTATTTTCATGTACAGTCTTTAGACTGGTAGAGATAAAACCAGTATTTTTAAATCAAATGTCCTGCAGAATTTTTTTTTTGTATTACTGGTTGGTTCCTAATCCATCATCTTTTGATGTTTTAGGAGACACAGAAAAGGGTCAAGCAAATCGAACCACTAAGAACAAGGATGCCCATGTCTGTGGCAGGTGCTGTGCTGAGTTCTTTGAATTATCAGATCTCCTGCAACACAAGAAGAATTGTACTAAAAATCAATTAGTTTTAATTGTGAATGAAAATCCAGCTTCTCCTTCTGAAACCTTCCCTCCTAGTTCCCCTTCTGATAATCCTGATGAACAGATGAATGACACAGTTAATAACACAGATCAAGTAGACTGCAGTGACCTTTCAGAGCATAACAAACTTGACAGGGAAGAATCCATGGATGTGGAGGCTTCTAGCATTAACAATAGCGGTAGCAGTTCCAAGAGCGTCAACAATAGTATTACAAGCAGTAACAGCTCCACAATGGGTACCTCAGCTGTAACAACCTCTCTACCTCACATAGGGGATCTGACAACATTAGGCAACTTTTCAGTGATAAACAGTAATGTAATAATAGAAAACCTTCAGAGTACTAAAGTGGCGGTAGCACAGTTCTCACAGGAAGCGAGATGTAACGGTGCATCAAACAGTAAGCTTGCTGTACCTGCCCTGATGGAGCAGCTGTTGGCATTACAGCAGCAGCAGATCCATCAGTTGCAACTGATTGAACAAATTCGTCACCAAATATTATTGTTGGCTTCCCAAAACACAGACATGCCAACGTCTTCTAGCCCTTCTCAAGGTACTTTACGAACATCTGCCAATCCCTTGTCTACATTAAGTTCCCATTTATCCCAGCAGCTGGCTGCAGCAGCTGGATTAGCACAAAGCCTTGCTAGTCAATCTGCCAGCATCAGTGGTGTGAAACAGCTACCCCCTATACAGCTACCTCAGAGCAACCCTGGCAACACTCTAATTCCATCCAGTAGTGGCTGTTCTCCAAATATTAACATGTTGGCGGCAGCAGCAGTTACAACACTGTCCTCAGAAAAAGTGGCTTCAAGTATTGGTGGCTCACAGCTCAACAACCCACCAGTATCAGCATCATCCTCACCAGCTTTTGCAATAAGCAGTTTATTAAGTCCTGCATCTAATCCACTTCTACCTCAGCCCACACCCAGTAACTCTGTTTTCTCCAGTCCCCTGTCCAATATCGGAACACCTGCAGAGGATTTAAACTCCTTGACTGCCTTGGCACAGCAAAGAAAAAGCAAGCCACCAAATGTAACTGCTTTTGAAGCAAAAAGTAATTCAGATGAGGCATTCTTTAAGCATAAATGCAGGTTCTGTGCTAAAGTGTTTGGGAGTGACAGTGCCTTGCAGATTCATTTACGTTCTCACACAGGCGAGAGACCATTTAAATGCAACATATGTGGAAACAGGTTCTCCACAAAGGGAAACTTAAAGGTCCACTTTCAACGTCATAAAGAAAAATACCCTCATATTCAGATGAATCCGTACCCGGTGCCAGAGCATTTGGACAATATTCCTACAAGCACGGGTATTCCTTATGGGATGTCTATACCGCCAGAGAAACCTGTCACGAGCTGGCTGGACAGCAAGCCAGTCCTCTCCACCCTGACAACTTCTGTTGGCCTGCCACTCCCACCAACAATACCAAGCCTGACTCCATTCATCAAAACGGAGGAGCCTCAGCCGATTCCCATTAGCCATCCTTCCTCTAGCCCTCCCTGCTCTGTCAAGAGTGACTCGGGAACAACTGATCCTACATCAAAAATTTCCAATGGATTTTCTGATGAGGTAGAGGCTGGTGCTTTGCCTACATCAAATGGCAAAATAGAAGAAAACCCTCAAAACACAAGCACTATCACTAACATGACCAGCTCCGTGAGCTCTCCAGCAGCAGACTCGGGCTCCAGCAGTGTTGCTACTTTTACAAATCCACTGATGCCTCTAATGTCAGAGCAATTTAAGGCAAAGTTTCCATTTGGAGGACTGTTGGATTCAACGCCAGCATCTGAAACATCAAAATTGCAGCAGCTGGTAGAAAACATTGACAAAAAGGCAACTGATCCTAACGAGTGTATCATTTGCCACCGAGTTCTCAGTTGCCAGAGTGCACTGAAAATGCATTATCGCACACATACTGGTGAGAGGCCATTTAAATGTAAAATTTGTGGTCGTGCTTTCACGACTAAAGGCAACTTAAAGACTCATTACAGTGTCCATCGTGCCATGCCCCCCCTGAGAGTACAACATTCGTGCCCAATCTGCCAGAAGAAATTCACCAATGCAGTTGTGCTACAGCAGCATATCCGGATGCACATGGGAGGGCAGATCCCAAACACCCCAGTGACGGAAAACTATCCTGAGTCAATGGAATCAGATACGGGATCTTTTGATGATAAGAATTTTGATGACATAGACAACTTCTCAGATGAGAACATGGAAGACTGTCCTGACAGCAGTGTGCCAGACACACCTAAATCTGCAGATGCATCACAAGACAGCTTGTCTTCTTCCCCTTTGCCCCTGGAAATGTCAAGCATTGCTGCTTTGGAAAATCAGATGAAGATGATCAATGCAGGACTTGCTGAACAACTTCAGGCAAGCTTAAAGTCAGTTGAAAATGGGTCAGTGGAAGGGGATGTTTTGACTAATGATTCGTCCTCTGTTGGGGGTGATATGGAAAGCCAAAGTGCTGGAAGCCCTGCTGTCTCAGAGTCTACCTCTTCCATGCAGGCCTTGTCCCCATCCAACAGCACTAATGATTACCACAAGTCACCAAGTATTGAAGAGAAACCAGTAAGAACCTTACCAAGTGAGTTTGCCAATGGTCTGTCTCCAACCCCTGTTAACAGTGGTGCTTTGGACTTGACATCCAGTAACACTGATAAAATTATTAAAGAAGAGTCTCTGAGTATGCTCTTCCCTTTCAGAGATAGAGGTAAATTTAAAAACACCGCATGTGACATTTGTGGCAAAACATTTGCTTGTCAGAGTGCCTTGGACATTCATTACAGAAGTCATACCAAAGAGAGACCATTTATTTGCACAGTTTGCAATCGTGGCTTTTCCACAAAGGGGAATTTGAAACAGCATATGTTGACACATCAAATGCGAGATCTACCATCACAACTTTTTGAGCCCAGTTCCAGTATCGGCCCTAATCAGAACTCTTCGATTATACCTGCCAATTCCCTGTCATCGCTCATAAAAACTGAGGTTAACGGCTTTGTGCACAGCTCTCCTCAGGATAGCAAAGAAGTACCCTCTGGTCTTGTTGCTTCGGGGCCACTATCCTCCTCTGCCACGTCCCCTGTCCTGCTCCCTGCTCTCCCCAGAAGAACTCCCAAACAGCACTACTGCAACACGTGTGGGAAAACATTTTCTTCCTCCAGTGCACTGCAGATCCATGAAAGGACACACACTGGTGAGAAACCGTTTGCCTGCACTATATGTGGAAGAGCATTCACAACAAAAGGCAATCTGAAGGTACTTTTTCCTTTTGCTGTTCTTAGGTTTAATTTTCTCCTTTATGGGTTATTCTTCTTTACATCTGTTACTGTTGCAAGCAGTGGTACCTTTGGGTATTTGTGGTGTGAGAAATGGTGTGTTTAGTCAGCCCTGGTAGACCTAGATGGCTTCTTGTCTCCACGCAGGCTCAAAAGCACGGCTGGTTTTCATGCTTAATTAAAATTCATCTACCAGCAAAGACCGTCTATGTAAAGTGTGAAGCAGAACAGCCAAATGATGGTTAGGAGTATTAATTAACAGAGAAATGTGTCTGTAACTTACCTCTTTAAGAAGTGAAAGGCTCTTGAAAGTGCTGTTTTTGCATAACTATCATGGAAGATGATGAGTGTTTAAAAAAACTATTAACATAATTCTGGAACTAATGGGTATTACTTTAATTGATTATATAACTAACATTTTCTACTGATACGTGTTTGAAAAAGCAAATATACTTAAGTTTTAGAACACCAGTTGAGCACTTGACTGTGTACGTTTTTCTGTTGACAGAGTATTTCTCTAGAGGTTGCTGCCAGTAATGTGAGATGAATAATTACTTTCAGGCCATTCTGTCTATACACGAGGCTCTCTGATGAGCAATCACTAAAAGATACTTTCTGCCTGTCTGAAAAGGACGTTTATAGGGTAAAGGGTGTCAAATACAATACTTACCATTGCAATGAAAGTGGACATAGCAATTCTAGCCCTGAAAGCAGCTATCTGCAATTGACAGAATAACGTGAAGTCATTATAAACTAAATACATGTAATAAAAAAGAGTAACAAGCAGTGCAGTGTTCAGCAGGAAAACGGTATTGTGGGTAATAGTGATGGGCTAATCCAGAAAAAGTTTCATTTATTCTTCCACATGAGAAATGGAGCCCTGCATCCGCTACCTCTAATGCTGTTCATTATGCAACAAGACTGGACGTATTCATGGACTGCTGCTTTCTCTGCGATCAAAATATGTTTGAAATCCCTGACAATCTATATTTTTTTGTTTGTTTCTTTCTTTCTTTCTTTCTTTGCAGGTTCATATGGGCACTCACATGTGGAACAGTACTCCCGCAAGGCGAGGCAGACGACTTTCCGTAGATGGACCCATGACATTTCTAGGAGGCAATCCTGTGAAGTTCCCAGAAATGTTTCAGAAGGATTTGGCTGCACGGTCGGGGAATGGAGACCCCTCCAGCTTCTGGAACCAGTATGCAGCAGCACTCTCCAGCGGCTTGGCCATGAAGACCAATGAGATCTCTGTAATCCAGAATGGCGGCATTCCTCCAGCGCCAGGGGGCCTGGGGAATGGTGGCAACTCTCCCATCAGCGGCTTGACGGGAAGCCTGGAGAAGCTCCAGAATTCAGAACCCAATGCACCTCTAGCTGGTCTGGAGAAAATGGCAAGCAATGAAAATGGGACAAACTACCGTTTTACACGTTTTGTGGAAGACAACAAAGAAATTGTAACAAATTAAGAAAAAAATCCATAAATAACATTCCTGCAAATACTGCAACCTAGGGTTGCTTTTTTTCCAAGCTGCAGGCTGCAACATTACAAGACTTTCTTTTGTACCATGTTCTACTTCTAGAGTTCTAAGAGCTTATTTATTAGTGATATAACCTTGCTTTGCAAATAAATGCAAGCACTAACTTTGGTCTCCTGTATTTTGAACTAAATACTAATCGACTAGAGTGCTATAAACTTGCTGTAACATTTATGGCAGTTGCAAGTCTGTTCTGCTAGGTGATCTTATTCCAGCATTAACTTATTTTCTATATCCAGTTTAACATGAACTCTGGTATTGATGCAATGCCTCAGTGATGCATTAGATCTCTAATAAAAATCTGTATATAAATGTACACTTTGATCCTGCTGGAAACTTTATCAGCAAATACATCGTTTAATTTTTCCAAACAGAATTAAGAAAAGGACTGAGAGGATTTAGACTGAACAGTGTGGGTCCTTTACACAGCTCAGTTTTTGATTTTATTATAAAATTAAAACTGCTTTAATTTTTGTAGGTTTAACTTTTTCTGTTTTGAACTGTTATTTGTATTGTGCTTTTTACTTGAGTTGTCGTAAATGTTACTACATTTCTGTACAGTAATAAGCACGCAGATTATTAGAGAAGATACTGAAGTGGTGTTTTGGTAGTTGAAACTGAGACGTAACATTTGCCTTGTAGGTATATTCATTTTAGAAATTGTGCTGGACATTCACAATGCTGCTAAGTATGGCATCTTGAACAACTTCTGTGAGCAACTGTAGATGCTCCTGTATATACAAGACATTACTTTCATTAAAATGTACATATGTTCCTTACAAGATCAAGCCCTACTCCTTGATCAAGGGAACAAGTATAGTGTTTGTTTATTTTGTATTAGGTATTATGGAGTGCATGGGGAATCTTGGACTGTTACATGCACTTTCTTGGAAAGTTGAAAGGAAAAGAGGTCCAGTTTAACATTTAATACTTACTAACAGCAGAGATACTGTAATTTTACTCGAGTAATCAAATACATTTTTGCAACAGATAAAATTTGCTGTCTCTGTGTTTTTAAAGTGTACCTGTACTTAGTAATCACTTTGTATTATTTAGCCTTTCCCTTGGTTAACATGAACTGTCCAGGTTGTATGTGTGTGTTTATATTTGTAAGTATAGGTATACATATATGTATCGCATATTAATTGCTAGTATATTTTTCATACCCCCTATTAGTGGGAAATTTATCCTTAACTATTCAACTCCTTCTCTTCATAAATTTGTAGATATTTTGGCATTTTAAATTTCTTTATTAAAAAAAAAAAAAAAAATGCTGCTAGCAAAGACCTTATTGAGCCTATGTAAGTTTCCTTTGAAGGAAATAGCTTATCACATTTAAGGCTTGATTTGGTTCAAATGCTTTATATTTGATATTAATTTTATTCTATGAGATTGTATGTCTGTGGCATGCTTATGCTGCTCTGTGTTAAGATGTCCACTTGCAAGCCTCCATATATTATATGGGGTTTATCACTGATTGTAAAAAAAAAAAAAAAACCCACAAAAAACGAAAAAAAAACAAAACTAAAAACACCACCAAAAAAAAAACAACAAAAACCCCAAAACAAAAAAAAAAAAAAAAAGAAAAAAAAAAGAAAAAAAAAAGGAATTAAAAAAGAAGGAAAGAAAGAATTGCTTTGGCCTTGCACATGATTTGGCTTCCTTTATGCACCTGCAATGATGATTAACCTCATTAGGAGTTTGGGGAAATAACATTCAGCTCAGTGTTTTCACCCGGTAGAGTTTTATCTCCTCACATTATTTATGAAAAATACATCAGTTTGGCTGCCTTGAAATTATGCCTTCAAAAAAACAAACAACAAAAAACAAAACAGGAGTAAACGATTTTATGTTCACATGAACATACTTTACAATTCAAAATGAAGGTGTTTTGTGTTACAGTTTTTCTTCAATGTCAGTGTGGGGGAGTTGCTTGCCTTTTTAAGAAAAAAGTAATCACTCTGCTCTTCCCCCGGTAGCTCGAGTTGTAAATTGGGCATCCTTAGAGGATTTAACACTGAAAACCTGGGATGAAAAATACTTTTCTTGAGGACTTTAACCTTTATATGATTTCAGATCCTTAGTAAAAGTATTAACGCTGTAGTCTGAATACCTCTTGGCCTTTATGTCTTTAGAACTTTTCCTGTTTGAATGTGATGATTCATCTGGTACATGGTATGCATTTTTGTTAACATGAAAGTTGTACACTAGAGCCAGCTGGCTTGTCAATGTGAATATTTAAGAATTTCAAATCACCTTTTGGTCTCAAAAAAAAAAAAAGGTAAATTAAACGGATTTTGATGATTTTATCAGTGAAATAATAACTAATTCTCTTTTAAAACCGAGTTTAGATTTGTGCAAGGAAGGGGAGGGTTTCCTTTAGGCGGCTTGAGTTTCATTACTGCTCTGGCTGTAGTCCTCGGTCCCGCTTCGCGTTGAAACGAAGCCTCTGTCTGGGTAGGGAGAACCTTTCAACCCCGCTGGGGACCGGGCCGAGGCGCGGCCCGGCTGGGGAGCCGCCCCTGGGACAGTCGGGCCCTGCACTCGCCATCCTCCCCGCCTGCTGGACGCTCGGTAATGTGCGCACGTGGCGTTTTGCAGGGGAAAAGAAGACAAGAAATACAGTAAAAAGTTGCCCCTTTTCTCCCCGCCACCTCGGGACCTTCCTCCCCCGCTCCCCCCGCCAGCTGCCGGGTGCCCCGTTCCCTCAGACAGAGCCTGCGCTACTTCCCCGAAAGCGCACGGGTTGGGGTGAGAACGTGGGGTGCGACTACAGTACCCTAAATGACTCTAGTACAGAGGAGGGACGCGGGCCGCCGGACCCTTTTCTGTCCTGGCCCTTCGGAAGCGATTCCGTGAGGCTGCGAGGGTAGCCTGTCCCGGGGACGAGGACTGCTGCGGGTCAGGCTCCTCGGGCCACCTTTCCCCCCAGCCGCCTGGCTGATCGCAGTGATTGAGCCCGGCTGGGTGGCTTTTCCACTGCTAAGCCAGTGCGCTGCCCTGCGCTGTCGCGTTGTTGCTGCTGTTTCACTTTCTGCATCCCTTGCTACTGTCTGCGGACGCGGGTACTGGGGGTTGGAATCAGCCGGTCCCGTGTTACCATGCTCCCCCCTGCGCCGCACTGTGCGGCGGGTGCCTGAGCTCTCTTCCCCGTGATACGAGAGGCTTCTCGTTCCTTTTTTTCCCCGCTGCGGAAGTGGAGACGTCTCCCGTGGTCGCTAACGCCGTGCCCTGCCGGGTGCAGGGTCAGGCTTGGCTTTGGACTCCCCGCCCCGTCAGGCGGAGCCCCCGGCTGGCCGGCTGCGCGCTGTCGGAGACAGGGGGTGGGGGGGTGCTGATTTGCTCTGGAAAAGAGGAACGTTTAATTTCCAGTTACTTGACACCAGGCCGTGGGGACCGGGAGAAGTCACCTCTTCCTGGATCTGTCCCCTGGCAAGCGCACAGAGGTGTCCGCTCCGCCTCGCAGCTGCGCGCCTTGCTGCAAGTTGCCCAGCGCGGGACTTGCTAGTCACAGGCACTGGGCTCATCCTTATCCAAGAGCAGAGTTTGTTTGCGTAGCCGCATTTTTCTCGTTAGCAAAAAAGTTTTCTTCCCCCCCCCCCCCCTTTTTTTCCTCTCCGCCCTCCTTGCCCATCACAATTCCATTAAAATAAAGCACAGCGGGGTGTCGTACTTCCTCCCTTCCCCCACTCCTCCCTTTTTTCTGAGCGCAAACGATCGTTAAGCGCGTTCATTTAATCTGCCCGAGTACTTTTCTTCACGCAGAAGCAACCGTGATTTACTTAAAAACCAGCCTAAGAGGGTGCGAAGCTCCGCTGCTTAGGAAGGGCCCGAGCCGCCCTGACGAGCCGGCACTCCCGCCGGCACCTTCGCTCGCAGGCGGCCCCTGCGCTTGGGGCTTTTCCCGGGCACAGCGGGGGAGCCCGGGAAGCAGGGACGTGGCGGCGACCGAGAGGGACGAGCTAGGGGCGGGCATTTCGCTTCTATGGGGCAAATGGTGAGATGTAGCGGGGCAGACGGAGTGAAAGGATGAAAAGGACGCGGAGGGCTGATCAAAAGGACTCAGCCAGCAGAGTGCAGAGAGAGAGGAGACAAGGCAGCACATCGGATGGGCAGGAATGAGGTTTCTCTATTGACGACGCAGGGGTGACAAGGGAAGTGGAGCAGCAAACTGCCTGGTTTATTTCATGTGCTGACGATGACCAAATCCTGAACTCTTTTCTCACGGAAAAGTCAGATTAATTTCCGTGTTTCTTCCTAGGCTGGGCTACGGTTTGAGATTTAGGGACAGTTTGCAAGCCCTCCCTGCTGCAACAGTCAACAAATCTCTCCAACTCTGCTTTGGAAAGAGTATTTGATGACCATCAAAATGCAACGGTTGCTGCTTGGTTTCACCTTTTCTTTGGGGCACGCTTCCTGCTTTTGGGAGTCCTAAGCTCACAAGCTGCCTGGTTGCGTCTTTTCAGGAGGCCGGTTTTACTTGGCAGGAGAGGGTGTGACTTTGTAGCATGACAGTTCCTTTTTGCTGTTTCTCTGCCAGTCTTCAGTACTTCTCCAGTTTTGTCTTTGTTTTTTTGTTTAATCGAAGTAACATTTTCTATTTGGTTTTATTCTCTCATGCATGAGTTGTCAGAAGTGAAAATAAAGTTTTGCAAATAAGTGGGTATAGTTATTTGTAGAAGCTAGAAACAATGTGTCTCTTAAGTTGAAATACAGTGATTTGAAAGGTTTCACATACAATACAGTTTCTTTTTTATTTATACCTATCTGTAGATAAATACCTCTCTCTAGACAAAAAATTAAGGAGGAGTAGAGACTTCAAAATGTTAATAGGAAAGAACAAGAATAATTGGAAAGTGTGCAAGTTCAGCTGACAACAGTTACTGACGGCTGTGTTATATTCAGTTTCCTGATGCTTCTGAGTTTTACATTCAGGTTATAGTTAATATCCGAATGGATACCCTGAGCCAGTCCTTCTATCGCTATTGGTACTGGCCTTGCAGATGCCTGGAAGATGGCAAGTTCAGTGTGATTCATTCTTGGGAAGATGTTCTTGTTCCAGGGACATGAGATCCTCAAAGGGCCTGAACCACATGTGGTTGCTGAACTATTTTAAAGGTGAGGTGTATGCATGGCAGGGATTAAATTTATTTTCTGGCTCAAATTATATTACAGTTCTGTCCTGCCATGAGTCTCTTCCTTTGGTTTCCATTTTATCTTTTTCTTTGGACACATTTTTGAAATTTCTGAAGAGGCAAAATCTCACAGTTGTACCGGGAGAGGAGCAGTAGAACGAGAGCAGGACAGTACTCCAGTCCCTCTAGCACTGAGGGAGCTGATGAGTAACATGTGCCCAAGGGCTGAAGATGTTTTCAGCAGTGCTGTGCATGGTGGGTGGGATCAGCATCTTGTATGCAGCTGACTGTAAGCATATGGTGTACCTGTGAGAACACCTGCTGGAGACTTGGAGAGTAAGGAAGTGATGTTATAGCAGTTAACTAATTAACCCAGATTGTGGGCTCTTAACTTTAAGAAGTTATTGTCACTTTCGCAAAGCAGTTTAGGTTAGATGGGGGCTAAAAACATGTCCAAGCCTGTGTTAGACTTTGTCACCAGTGATAACAAGGAAAGCCCACACTGGAATGATCAGGCCTGGAACTTCTAGTGTCATTACATTTCAAAACTGAGAAGTCTCTCTATGTTAACAGACATTCACATGATCTGTACAGACAGCTCTCTTGACCAGGGCAGTGATGAAGTGCAAAGGTCTATTTTCATTATTTAAAGGTCTTAAAAATGCAGCATCACAATGTCAGGAGGGTGCCGCAGGAGCCCTGCAGCACCTGGCATCAGGTGGTGCAACATGAACACTATTCAGAATTGAATATGGGAAGCAAAAAATGGAGTGGTCTGGCACACTGTAATAGATTTAACCCCACTGGTCAGTAGTTCCTTTCTTTTACCTATCTTCTCCCTGAAAAATAGTTTCAAAGCAGAGCCAGTGAGACTAATCAGATGAATAATGTTAAAAAAATTCATGTTTAAAAAATTAGCTTATCAGTGTATGATTCTAAATTGTTTTTGTTTCATCAGGATTTTAAAAAATTAATACATAGCAAAGCTAGCATTTGTTTCACATGTACAATAATTAAGTGGATGATCGTGTTCAATGCTAAATGTGCATTCATATGAACTATTTTTCTGTTGGCTAGAGAATTCAGAGAACAGCGAATTATATAAAGACAACAGATTTCAAAGGTTTATGTGTCTCCTTACTTGACTAGGCTGAATACTGAGTCCTCTGGACAAGTTGTGTCAGAGCTGCTGCTGAGAACAAGGGTGTTGTGATGGTTAGATTACTAGTTAGCACAGTTGTGGCAATCAGCATAGACTGCTGGTGCCAATACATGTAAACTAATTT